CAATCCCATTCTATCTGCTCCCTCTCTTCCCTTCCCTGCCCCATGTGAATGGGGAAAGACCACCCTGAGGGTAGGGGCAGCAAATCGGGAGATACCTATTCTGGTTTTCCCATTCTTTCCCACCTCCAGCCCTGTGGGAATGGGTTCCTCTCCTCTCCTTTCTCCTCTCTTCTTCTCCTCCCCTCCTTTCCATTTCTCCATGAAAGTCTCTGCTGAAAGGGGATGTGGCCCTTCTGTCCCCTTCTCTTTCTTCTCCACCCCTCTCCCCTTTTCTCCACCTAGGTTATTGTAGCAGTTCTCTCCAGTAGCCTCCTGGAAGTGCTTCTCCCAAGGGGTGAAGTCATGATCATAGCAAACCATGGTGCCAAGTGATCCCAGGACAGGGCTAGTCCTCTCTGGCAAGCAAACTGAGGTGAGGCTGTTCTTCCTGCCCATCTCACTAGGCCTATCTCAGGAACTCTGAGTTTTGGGGGCAACAGGACTCTTGGGTCTGTGGCCTTTTTAATTCCCGCACAAGCCACCAGGGTCAGGAGTCTCCCACAGAGATTTTTTTTGTATTGCTGCTGCTGTAGCCTCTTTCCTGTCTCCTGGTTATGCTCTCTCTTTTATGTTCCCTTCTCCTAAACACACGCACGCACGCACGCACGCACGCACACACACACACACACACACACACACTCTCTCTCGCTCTCTCTCTCTCTCTCGCTCTCTCTCTCTCTCACTCACTCATTCCCAGAAGGGAAGCTCATTTCCCTCGAGCCTTTTCAGGGAGAATTCTAACTTTTCTTTCCCCTTTCCTGATCTCTTCACTCATACGGAATTGCAAAAACACTGGGGAATGTGGTCCCTTTGGCCGCTTCCCCTGGGGCATGGAAAACACTCCTCTCCTCTCCATCTTTCTTGTTTGCCTTCCTTCCCTAATTCCCTACCCTACCTCTTTGCTACAGGATGGATTTTCTTCCTAATCCTCCTTTACTGGTAGGTCCCTATCCTTCCATTCACATTGTGGTCCAATGGAGAGGTGAATTTAGAGCCAGAGGACCTGGGTTTAAATCCTAGCTCTGCCACTTACTCTGCCATGGGTGAGTGGCTTTCACCTCTCTGGGCCTCAGTGTTCTCATCTGTAAAATGACAGAGTTGGACCAAAATGTGTCTCGTAGCTCTATATCTATGATTCTGTGATACTTGGAGTTTTGGAAAAGACCCCTGTGAAAGTCAATGAACCTAGTCCCTTCTGTTCTTTTTACCTTGGTATAGGTCTTTCCATTGTCAAACAGGTGATGTGACTGAAAGGAGTGAGCTCCTGAGTGTCTCCTTTCTTCCTCTGTGACAACCTCCTCAGGCATTTCTTCCTTTGGCAGAGATACTACGTCTCTATGTTGGGGAGGTCCCCCATTGCTCCTTCTCTTCCCCCTTTAAGTGAAGCTCTTTCCCTGAGAGACCTCATCACTTCAGTGCTCTGGGGGCCCTGTTTTGTTTTCTGATCTCTGTACTGGGGTCAGGAGCCTGAGCCCCTGCCATTTGAGATCACACAGTCCCTTGCCCCACCTCAGCTTCCAGATGTTTCTGGCAGGCCTGAACACTTAAAGCAAATGTGAGCAAAATTCTCCTTCCTCCTATTTTCTGTATTTTTGATGTAAACTTTTCTGGGTACTTCCAGCTACTGGTCTTTTAGCCAAGGGGAATGGGAATTTGAAGCATCAACACCGCCTGCCACTCCCAACCCCTATCCTTCCATTCACATCCAATCTGGATGTCAGTGTAGCTCCAACAGCTAGGTTGGGGTCCACACCCTGGTTGGTGTGCCGAAGGTCCCACAGTGCCCCCATTTTGGTCCCTCTTCTTCCCTGCATCATTTATTGCTTTCCCTTTGTGTGCAACTGCCTGGGAAATTCAGAGACAGGGCACCCTCTGGTTCATCCCCATGGAGACCTTCTACCTTTAAAATAGATACCCTGAAGGTGACTCCGGGCTCCAAAGCCTGCTTACCTTGCTAGAGGAGGCAGAGCCGTAGCCACACTTATCTAACAGAGTCTTTCTGACTAGTGCCAATCTTGGACTTGTACCTCAAACCCTTCCCTTCCCCTTTGGAAATCCTCAGGGAGGTATGGGGGTTCCCTCTCTCTAGGCACCAGTTATACCTGGTGTTTGCAATTTTGACTTTTCCAGGACTGCAAGTTCCCTGGGTTAAACCCAGGTAGTTTTGAGGCACTGCTACAGGGTTGAAGTGCAGGTACTTTTCTGTCTACAAAATTTAATGTGGGAGGGGTTTCTCCTGGTCATATGTCTAAATAACTCTCTTTCCTAGAAAGGGGTCTTTGATGGATAGTGGGTAACTGCCTTTGCGAAAAGGGTATTGGGAACAGGATGGGACTTTGAGGTTGTAAGGGGAAAGGTATTTAGGACCCTCATTGCTTTCCTTGATTATGGGTAGTGGATGTTTCTTTTAAAGGACCTGCCATGTTTTTAATCACTGTGATTTTTTCATTCCTTTTTCTTTAAAAAAAAAAAGAACAAAAAACTAACAAAAAAAGCCACGCTAATTTTTTTTTCTGTCTCTTAAGCACTAAGGGCTGTGATTGAGAATGGCAATGTTTTGGACCCTCTGTGTCACAACTGTGGTATCTTTTTTTATTTTTCTTTTAAAAAAAAATCAGGATGAATTGTGAAGTGTATGTATGTATGTATGTATGTTTCTTGTCTATCTCTCCTCTGTGGGAAGTAGTCTTGAGGCTGTGACCAGTAGTGGGATGTGAAATTAACACTCTTCCTAGGAGTGAGCTCCTTCTTTCTCTCTCTCTCTCTCTCTCCCTCTCCTTTGTAATTCCCTTTCTCTTCTTAAGGGGGGCTTCTGCAGTACTGTCATCTTTTGGGGAGGTACAGGGTATGTCCTTCTTCTATTGTCTCCATCTGACCTTATCCTATCCATTAACTATTCATTTTAGTTTTCTTGACATGCCTAACCCAACCTTCCCACCCTAGGGTCACTGTGCCTCAATCCTTCACCTACCTCACCATTCTGCCTCTGTCCTCATTGACTCCTCTCTGTTAAGCTCACTTCTATGTCATCTGCCTTCATTTCCTCTTAGAGTGTCACCTTCCTCCTTGTCATCCTTCATCCTGTCCTTAAATTCTTTCCTGACATCCCCATTGGAACTCCTGAGCTGTCCCTTTTTTGTTAGAAAAGATGAGGTAAAACAAATGGACCCTTGGAGACCCTCAGCTGGGCCATCTGTTTTTGCAGGCTTATGCTTTCCTCTCTGTTGGGCCCACATAGGCTCCCCTTGTCTCTGTATGGTGTCTTGTCTGTCAATTTGTCTTTCTTCTCTTTCCTGTGCCCACCCCCTAGGGCAGTATCTGCTGATGGATTCAGTCCTGGTGTGGGACTGGTGTTCTTCTATGTGCAGAAGGAAGGGGGAGGCAGGGGGACTAACTAGGTCCCTTCCAAGTGAGATTGTAAATGTAGAATTTTCCACTCAATTCTAGAATTTTTTTTTTTACAGAGCTGAGACCTTGTGCATGCATGTAGAAAATTGTAAAATGTAAAATTGTTTTTTTTAATATATAAAAAAGCTTGTTTTTACAGTTTGCAGTGGATCTAAGCATTATGGCAAATTTAGGGATTTTTTTTCTTAAAGCATAGGAACTAAAACTGTACAAATTTTTTTTATATAAAATAAACACATTTGACTTTTTTGGGGTGGTATCTGATTGCTTTATCACTGGGGTAAGGAAAGAGCTTCTTTGAAGTCAGCCCTGGAAGGTCTGAATTTCTCACAGTTCTGCAGCCAGAAAGACCTAAGCAGTTGATCAGATTATAAGAAAGGATCAGCAGGGGGCAATGTAAGCTTAGCTTAAGTTGCTAGTTTTGAGGGTGAAATGGAAAGGAAATCTGGCAGCAGGTAGAAGGATTTGAAAGGAACTATAGGATGGGCCATGCTGCTTGGAGGATCCTAGTACTATAGGCACAGAACTGGAAGGAACCTTAGGGACCAGCTGGTCCAAATCCCTCATTTTAGAGATGAGGAGATGGAGGCTCAGAGAGGTTAAATAATTTGCCCAGTGTCACATAGGAAATAAGGTGACGGATAAGATTGGAACCCAGGTCTTTTGACTCCAAATTCAGTGTTCTTGGGACGTGAGAAAGGGGTCTTTTCTTTTTTCTTTTCTTTTCTTTTTTAAAACTATTTCAAAATCCATGAAATTCAGGACTTTACTATTGATCAGAACCATTGACAAAACCTTAAATTATGAGTATGATGAAAACTATAATTTACGAATAAGTCCAAGACAACTAATTCCCTTAAATTTATCCTTTATCGTTGGTTTGCACTAATCCTACTCAAGCACATAAAAGGGGTCTTTTCTTGAAAATAGATGCTCTAGAACATTCCCAGTTCTTATTTGTGTGACTGATCAACTTCGTGTGTTCCTGGCTCCTGAATTCCAGCAGGTAGGTCTCTTAAGAGCCAATTGGGGTTATGCCTGGAAAATCCCAACCAACTAAGAACCTGCATGAAGATATGTGCCCTTACACCGAAACCTGACTTTTTTCCTTATGGCTGCTCAAGTTTCACATATACCCTGTTTGCTTTCCTGATTCTTGGTGTTGCCTTAGTTACTTCATTTCAGCATCCCTGGCTTTTCCTTTTGTCCTTTTGACCCAGCTTGTTTTTCAGCATATATGCTGACTTTCTCTTTGGCTCTTGGTGTTTCTCGGTGTGTGGTTTCAGAAGCTTGGGTGCTTCAGAGGCTACTTTGTCCAACATATTCCTCCACAGCAGTCTCCT